GTTGGAGTTGACTAAGAATGTATATAGTCTTGAGTGCGTGTGTCCACAAGGACTGGGGAAAATGATGAAGATGATGGTTCATCTTAAACTGTCTGGATAGAATAAGTGTGAATGATGGATTATCAAGCCAGTATGGCTTTGTGTCTCATGGCTGTCTGGGGTTGTTTTGATGCGAGGGTGGAAGGCTAAGGGGGTAATTATAATATATGGAGTTTGGGGGATGATAATGTTATGCCAGCGGCAGATTATAGGCTTATAATTAACAAACTTCAGATTATAGGTCTATGGTATACTAGCTTCTAAGTGTACCAAGAATGTGAGGACATTCTAGTTATGTGTTAGCTAGTTACATGTAGTTATGTGTTAGCTAGTTACATGTAGTTATGTCCAGTGAGTTGTATCTAGTTATGGCTAGTTATACGTCACTAGTTCTAGCTAGTATTTTTGGTCTGAATTACACGGAAGTTTCCACCAGAAATTCAACTGTTTACATGAGAGTGTAATTGGTTAAATACTATTAATTGGCTTTACAATTGTCAAATATATATTTTTTCATGAGGAAATCGTTAAATTAATAAAATGGTCATTATAGCTATACATTATATATCAGAAAAGGGCATTGTCCGTTATCACGTTATAATGAATAAATGCAATCAGAAGTTAATATTAGAATGATAACGACGTTAATAGATACACGATAGACAAAATAGATACACGATAGACAAAATAGATACACGATAGACAAAATAGATACACGATAGACAAAATAGATACACGATAGACAGAATAGATACACGATAGACAAAATAGATACTTGATAGACAAAATAGATTCATGATAGACAATATATGAGGCATACAGTTAAGCCACTTTATTGTGACTCATCTTTTGCACATACAATTCAGGTTAAATCATACAGTTATTGTATCATACAGCAAGTTGTGTCTAGTTTATTGGAAAGTTTCAATTCGCTAGAAACCTTTGGTGAAGCTTGAACCGTTGTGTGTTTAACGTGGTGGTGAAAGTTTGCTGAAGTTAGAAAGTTTCTTGGCGGCTTTCTCTTGACAGCTGATGACGTCAGCAAGAATAGCCTTTGCCACGAATACAGCTTATTCTTGTCCGTGTGTAAAACAGTTTATGTAAAGCAAGGAGAAGAATAATGGATGCGCCTTTTGAGACACAATAGTGTGGTGTATCTATGAGGAAATATGTGGAGGCGGAGTGGTTGGGCTCGAACCCTGGAACTCTTTGTACATGCATGTGTCTAGGGGAAAATCCAGGGACGCGAGTTCGATTCAATTGCATTGCTTCAATATTTTCTCCACCCTCTTAGAGGAGCAGGACCCAGATTCACGAAGTAGTTACGCAAGTACTTACGAACGTGTACATCTTTCCTATAATTTTTGACGGCTTTAGTTACATTTATTAAACAGTTTACAAGCATGAAAACTTCCCCAATCAACTGTTGTTATTGTTATAAACAGCTTCCTGGTGCTTCGGAGCTCATTAACTGTTTAATAATTGTAAACAAAGCCGCCAAAGATTGAGAAAAGATGGACAGGTTCGTAAGTGCTTGCGTAACTACTTCGTGAATCAGGCCCCAGGATCGCTGACAGCGGGTTACATAAGACTCGGGTCACGAAGCGGTAAATTCCTCTCTGCGTGGCGTAACATTCTTCACTTTTTTACACACAGAAATCACAATAGCGTGATGCATCAAATATATATATATATATATATATATATATATATATATATATATATATATATATATATATATATATATATATATATTCTATATATAATATATTGTAACACTATAAGCCCCATTTACTCACCTATTGCCCCTACATGTCCTCACGTACATGTAATATACTGACTTGTGGCGTCTTGAACAAACTTTTCCAATTACAAGGCATCAAAAACTATTCAACTTTGCACTTAACAACCGCCGCCTCGGCCACCCGGGAAGAAAAGTATGAATTTAACGAGAAACTTCTAAATGTTAAAATACTTCTTATGTTAGTTTTTTTGTTTTGTTTTAGAGGTGTTGCAAGAGACCTCATTTACTGATGAGCTCTTGCAAGACCTGCCCGTTCATTGTCCCATCTTGCAAGATGGTACCAGTGGTTTGTTCCCGTTGTGAAGGCTTAAAAGATTCCTGTCGAATGTGTGTGTTCCTGTTCCACCCCCTCTCTTACCCCCCCCCCCATCCTGTCCCAGCTCACTGTCTCAACCGTCTAACTTCGTTCTCTGGCATACATCAATGTCCCAGGTTACTGTCCCAACCGTCCCTCTTAGCCCTCTGTCCCATGCCTGGCCCCGGGCCGGGCTTGGGGAGTAGGAGAATTCCCAGAATCCCATCCAAGTTCAATGCAGATATCCAGGCCGTCTGTCCCACCTTACTGTCCCAACCGTCTGTCCCACCTCACTGTCCCAATCGTCTTCTCCCACTGAATGTCTCAGTAAAGAGTGGACGCATCTCCAGTGTGCTTAGCCTAAGGAGTGTTGATATAGTCCAGGAGTTAACGAGGTCAGTAAACGGCCTCCCTGTTTCAGGACTTGAGGTCAAAGGTCACTCACCCTAAAAACAAACACACACACACACATACACAGTCACACTCGCGGGCCTCGCAGCTGAGTGGACAGCGCTCTGGGATCGTAGTCCTAAGGGGAGGCCCGATCCCAGGCCGAGATAGAAACAAGGAGGATTTAATAGTGATTATGTAACATGTTTAATTATGGATTCTTGGTAAATGAAATTATTTTAAATATTATTAATTATCATTAAATTTCTACCATTTTATATTTGAATGAAATTAAGGAGCTTTTGTAATGTAATATATATATATATATATATATATATATATATATATATATATATATATATATATATATATATATATATATATATATATCTGTGGCGCCCATAAGACAGTCTTGTCTTCATCACGTGTAAGTGCCAAGTGGTGTTTTACAGCGTTCAACACCTTAATTTATCGTTCACGAACCTTAAATTTATGCATTTTAGTGCGAAAAAAAAGTTTGCGTGTCTTTAAGCGAGAAAAATTTTCACGATGAAAATTTTCTGTTAATAATGTAATTTAATTTCCATAACAAAGCAGGTAAGATTGTTTACAGGCTGAGACGACCTTGTTTACAGGCTGAGACGACCTTGTTTACAGGCTGAGACGACCTTGTTTACAGGCTGAGACGACCTTGTTTACAGGCTGAGACGACCTTGTTTACAGGCTGAGACGACCTTGTTTACAGGCTGAGACGACCTTGTTTACAGTCTGAGACGACCTTGTTTACAGGCTGAGACGACCTTGTTTACAGGCTGAGGCGACCTTGTTTACAGGCTGAGGCGACCTTGTTTACAGGCTGAGACGCCCTTGTTTACAGGCTGAGACGCCCTTGTTTACAGGCTGAGACGACCTTGTTTACAGGCTGAGACGACCTTGTTTACAGGCTGAGACGACCTTGTTTACAAGCTGAGACGACCTTGTTTACAGGCTGAGACGACCTTGTTTACAGGCTGAGACGACCTTGTTTACATCAGGTGAAGTATTGTCTGCTCTACGTTATATACGGGAAAATCACCCCTAAACTGGTAAGTTAGAGCAACTGCCTCGCCCCTGTTACTTGGTCACTGTTCGATCCCCGATAGCCGTATGTGAGTGGGCACCGTCTCTTCACTCGCTGATATCTCATGTGATCCATCTGATGGTTCATGGAATTCAAACCCAGCAATTGTATGGTATTGAAGATGTGAATATGAGGCTAGGAGACCAGATGACATCTACAGCATGAGGGGAAGACAACTACGGGAGCCTCAAGGAGTGATTTGAGAGTGGATGTAATTCCAGCACTAACACCAGAGGTGCACACGGACAGGACAACATCAGCAGCATAAGAGACGCTGGCCATTGTAAAAACGTGGTTCTTAAAACCTAAGTCAGGGCTCCTGTGCAATCTATTCCGCATTTATTAGACCAATACTGTAATATGCAGCACCGGCACGGAAGCGACACCTTGTGAAGCATAAAGCCAAGATTGAAACGTACGAAGGTCTGCACCGAGGCTGGTGCCGGAGCCAAGAGGGTTGAGCTGTGAGGATAGGTCCTCCTACCCACCCTCGAGAGTTTGGTCTTGTCAAGATGAGGGGGACTGACGAACGATGCTGTCTGGCCAGTAGGGGCTGCCTCGACCCCTCTCCCACCGTTGTACGCGCGTAATGGAACAAATGTGAGGGGTCGTGTTCATTGTGCCACGTGCTGGAGGGGTCGCCTGCTAGGGGCCGCGTTTGGAGGTTGGTTGGGACTTCAACAACAAAAATAAAAGATGGGGCGAGAGGAAGAGGTATTTGCACAGGCGTAGGAGAATGTGAGATGGAGTAGGACTCTCCTTTTTAAAAAGGGAGGCCAGTGCCTTGGATGACGCGCCCCTTGTCGCCCTGACCTGTGCTCGGCCTCCCTTGCTGCCCCTGTAGGGGGTGTTGCTCGGGCTTAAAGGGACTGAACTTTTAATACAATCATGCATGCACAAACAACGCGCTTAAACGTGATGCATATCATTGAGAAAATCAGTAGGAGCTGCCAGGAGGTTGTAGGCTACAAGCCCCCATCACCAGCCTCAACCACACCCCCTGACATGGGTGCTGGTTGTTGGGGCAACCACCACCCACACTTCACACAGAAGATATCCTTCTGATCATTGGCAAGTATCCTGACGAACCGCCGGAGAAGACAATTAGATGATTTGATTTAATGTGTGTATGAGTGTGTGTGTGTGTGTGTGTGTGTGTGTGTGTCGGTGCTCATAATACTTCAGTTCATATAAAGGGCAGAATAATAGGGAATCATAGGCAGGGGGTGGCGTTGACAGCACGTTCCTGTTGACGAATCTGTGGCCGGTGGGTGGGTGTTGCAAGCGGCGGTGGGGCTGCAGTTACTGTGCAAGTTGCACTGCAGGTGAAGGGCCAGAAAATAAAACAAAAGTTAATGGAGGAACATTTATAAAATCAGTATAACAGGTGGAGGACGGAGTGTCTTCGTGGCCCGCAGGCAGGCGGGCGTGAGCCCTAGGTCACGTCAGGTCAAGCGAGGTCATAACCTGGTCACAACACTTCATATCAGGTTAAACTAGTTACATCAGGGTATCCCAGGTCAGCCGAGGTCAGGCCAAGTCCCCTCAGGTCAGCCCAAGTCAGCCCAGGTCAGGCCAAATCCCCCCAGGTCAACCCAGGTCTGGCCAAGTCCCCTAGGTCAGCCGAGGTCAGGCCAAATCCCCCCAGGTCAACCCAGGTCTGGCCAAGTCCCCTAGGTCAGCCGAGGTCAGGCCAAGTCCCCCCAGGTCAGCCCAGGTCAGGCCAAGTCACCCCAGCCTGAAATCATCTCAAGATAACCTCAAGATAACCCAGGTCAGACCACTTAAACGACACTGCATTAAGAGGAGCAGCACTACCTTACTGCATGAACCAGCAGTAGGGTGCTGTAGATAATCGCAAAAGGGGACCAATCCTGTTATTTGTGGAAAATATCTTCAGATTTATGTGATAATGTTTAGCCTTCAGAACATCACCATTGTTACTAAGACTTATGTTACAAAAAAATACTGGTTTGTTTTGCTAGCTTTTTTTTTAAATTTAGTTGAAAAGTCATTAGATTGAGATCAATTAATCATGTAACTTTGTATATATTTTCCAGTTACTTGTATTTAATCAAACAAAATCATTACATAAATGTCTAGTTGGCAACACTCCTGTATTGCTGGTATTTTTTGTGCAGTCGTCGGCGACTTATAAATTATAAAACAAAGAAACTTGGAGTCGTTAGATTCCCTTCACATAAGGATAAAAATCTAAGCTTTATTGTAATATTAAAAACAAAACTAACTAAATTTTGAAAATTCCTGGTTGTGGTACCGTATTAAAACTCTACAGACTACCATTCTCTCTCTCTAACGTACACATTCTTTTTAACATAAACAATCACTTGATTCTCTTAATGTTATATATAAAACATATTTGGAGTTGTTGTATGCAGCACTCAGTGCCAGTGTGTTAGATGCCGAGATCAATGAGATATCATGTAATGTTATTTGTCGATGGTATTGGCAGTCTCGACTATTTATCCTGACAGCCCTGAGGCTGACAGAGCGTCAACTATTACCCTCACGACCCTGAGTCTGACAGAGCGTCGAATATTATCCTGATGGCCCGAAGGGTGACAATGCCTGGTAAGCGTGTGTGTCAGACCACAGGGAAGCAGTTGTCTGGCCCAGGATTCACAAAGGGATGTCTTAAGTATACACTTAAGACATCTGTACCACCTCCATCCTGACTTAGTCTGTATCTACTAAAAAAAAAAGTAGCGAACTCCAAAGTGTTATTAAGTTATCTATTAACAATAAGAACCTTTTTTGGTGACCTCACAGCTCTTAACAGCTCATAAACTCTTGAGTAAATACAGACTAAGTCCTGTTGACCAGACCACACACTAGAAGTTGAAGGGACGACGACGTTTCGGTCCGTCCTGGACCTTATCACAATCACAAGTCGATTGTGATAAGGAGGTAGAGACAGGCAATAAATAGGCAAGAGAAACGTCGTCGTCCCTTCAACTTCTAGTGTGTGGTCTGGTCAACATACTTCAGCCACGTTATTGTGACTCATCGCCTGCAGACTAAGTCCTGATTGTGAATGCACAGATGTCGTACGTGTGGTCGTAAGTGGTTATTCCGAGCCCATCGGACAGTGGAAGCCCAAGGGTAACGACATCCCATGGAGAAGGATATCTCGAGGGCTGCCACGCCCTCGGGATACAAGATCTGTCCTGGGATATATAGGAGGAAGGAACATTATATATATATAACACATAGGACAGCATAGGCAAAAATGATATGTTTTATTCAGAGCATTGTTGGGTCACCGGCCTCGAGAACAAGTATGGGACCCCTCGAGTAGATCCTCCGGACTATGGGACCCCTCGGGTAGATCCTCCGGACTATGGGACCCCTCGAGTAGATCCTCCGGACTATGGGACCTCTCGGGTAGATCCTCCGGACTATGGGACCTCTCGGATAGATCCTCTGGACTATGGGACCTCTCGGGTAGATCCTCCGGACTATGGGACCCCTCCGGTAGATCCTCCGGACTATGGGACCTCTCGGATAGATCCTCCGTACTATGGGACCCCTCGGGTAGATCCTCCGGACTATGGGACCCCTCGGGTAGATCCTCCGGACCACGGGTCCCCTCGGGTCACAGTTATAACGTACGGGCTTATAGTGACATCTTTGAGCCACTGTCGAGATGTGCTTCTGATCATTGGCAAGCATAGGCCCTTCCTGACGAACCGTGGGAGAAGACGATTAGGAGTTGGGTTGATGTAAGTTGATCATGTGATGCATGGGAGTGTGACAGGTGTGGATGATCTACCCCGGTACTCCAGATCTGAGTACCGGGAGTACTCCAGTATTCCGGGAGTACTAGGAGACCAGTCTGAGATGTCGGTCCGAGTAGTGTCCATGATGTCTGGATATACATATTGGTGGACTCCGACCCGCTGCCACCATTGAGAATTTTGGTTTCTCTATAAACAGATCGATAGAATATAGAGAGATTTAAGATCAGGTTTAAGTGGAGGGTCCCTGCCATCTTCGGCCTTATTGATAGGTGGGCTAATGTTTTATGACCTGACGCTCGTTAACCCTAAGGGGTTGAAGAGTCAAGAATATTCCCCTATGATATATGTCAACAGTGAGTTGGGGGATCCGCCAGATTAGCAGCTGTCGATAAGACGAGTATTAATCACTCTTTGAAGTCCAGAGAGCTGAGGCCATGTGGCCGGTAAGCTCCACACATTACGTTGAATAATGAGCTTTATGGGGTGGCTAAGATCGGTAAGTTACCTCATTAATCAAGTTGCAGTAATCCCAGATGAAACATCCCACGGAAGGAGGACGCTTCTCATCGAAGTTCGTTTATATAAGCTACGAGACGTCACTTTGGCTGTACGAGTAGGCTTTGGAGGCTCCCATGGCTCCTGTAGGCTGTGAGAAGCTGCTTCAGCTCCTCCTTGTAGGCTGTGAGAGGCCGTCATAACTCCTTTAACTGGCCGGAAGCCGCCAAGACTTCTGGTTGAGGCGTACCTGGAACTCGAGGAAGGAATCATTGAGTAAATACGTTGGCGAGGTTAGGATCCTCTGGAATTTGACTATTTTTATAGGTAAGGCACAGGGTTCGTGCCGGTTCATCCGGCATGAACTGGACTGCGGAGTACGTTGTGTCGGTGGATGGCTTGTCATTTGAAGAGGGAGGACGCAGCCCAGGCAGCAGCAGCAGCAGTAGCAGTAACAGCAGCCAGCCCCTGTATCGTGGGCGGCCAAGAACCTGCGATAGCCAGCAGCCGCCGCCGCCTCTAGAGGGCGTCACGCTCACATTATGGGAATAAAGGCTTTTGGAACATTTTCTAGGGGGGTAAGCTAAAGGGTTATCTAGTCCGTTTCCCTTCGTTTGAAAAAACGAATTGCATTGAGACACGCCGTTATCTTATGCACCACCTCCTCCTGCATGAGGTTAAAACACATGGAAAGTAACGCTAGACCGAACATGAGGTAGAGAGAACAGTATATAAAACTCATTCCTTTCTCATCGTCATCAGTGGGGTGGAGCGACAACCCAGGAACATAGTCACCGAAACCTATAGTAGTTAGGGATATGAAACAGAAGTAGAAAGAGGTGAGTGGGTCCCAGCCCTCGTACTTCTCGAAGAGCAAGGTGCCACCGTACAGAAGAGCCACCATGATGACAAAGGACACCTTGATGGGTATGTTAACGGAGCCAACGTCCACCTTGTCGGCGTGGCCGGCACTCCAGGTAGCCGTGTCGATGGAGATCTCTTCTCCCAGTTCCGGCGGGTAGCCGGTTTGGTTCTGGGTGTCCGGATGGTAGGACGAGGGCCCGGCCGGAGCACGGAGCGTAGCCTCGGCCGACCGCCAGGCCACCGACGTGTCGAACCTGGCCTCGGGCCGGCGGCAGATGCAGAGCTTAGCGTATGTCCACTTGAGACTCTTGGCCAGGATGTCGCCCATGTTGGCCATGTAGAGGAGGAAGACCGGCATGCCGAACACGGTGTACAGGATGGTGATGATCTTGCCCAGGTCGGTGTTCGGGGAGATGTGGCCGTATCCTGCAGGCAAAGAACACAGTTAAACACCCTCACACTTATAGTTAATATTACACCGCTCAACACTGCACTTTAAGTACCCCAAACACTGCACCTTAAGTACCCCAAACACTGCACCTTAAGCACCACTAAACGCGCACACTATGCACTGAATGGAATGCTTCTCTGCCTCCTGTATAATGTGTTCATAGACATAAAAAAGGTCACCATTTGTGTTGTGTCAGTTGGTGAAGGTGGCAGAGTGGGGGCGGGTCCGAGGCCAACACAGTAAAGATACCTGGCTCATACCACCGCTTACGGTGGAGGGGAGGGGGGGGGGGGAGGGGGGTGTTGCTCAGAATGTGCCTTGCACTAGACCAACCTCAACCTCTTGTCGATAAAAATTCATAGGTGCTTTAATGCTGCGGTTGCTCCAGCCACCTTCTGATAACTCGTAACACAGAATGTGTAGACCCTCCTGTTATATTCCTATACACGCCGTTTATATGACAAGCTCAAAACTAAACTTTTCACACGCACGCACATGCACACACACACACACTCATAGACACACACACACATTCACAAACACACACTCACACAAGAGAAGGAAAACAACAGTGAAAGACCAGGTGATGAAATTAAGAACGGGTGAAGACAGGTACACAGAGAATGACGAGAAGGTGTGTGAAGAACTCAACAAAGAAATTCCAGGAGGTCTTCACAATGTGAGGCGGGACCAAAGAGCCAAAGCTCAACCCCCGCAAGCACAATTAGGTGAGTACAATAGAGCGAGGATAGGTCGCTGAACTTAGACAGGTGGCAACAATCAAGGCAGCTTTGGAAGATTTCGAAATTACCAGAGACAATTTTGGACAGACAGACATGGTCTCTGTCCAGAGGTTTTGTGTGTCTATCCAGAGCTTCTGTGTGTCTATCCAGAGCTTCTGGGTCTCTATCCAGAGCTTCTGTGTCTCTATCCAGAGCTTCTGTGTCTCTATCCAGAACTTCTGTGTCTCTATCCAGAACTTTTGTGTGCCTATCCAGAGCTTCTGTGTCTCTATCCAGAGCTTCTGAGTCTCTATCCAGAGCTTCTGAGTCTCTATTCAGAGCTTCTGGGTCTCTATCCAGAACTTCTGTGTCTCTATCCAGAACTTCTGTGTCTCAATCCAGAGCTTCTGGGTCTCTATCCATAGCTTCTGGGTCTCTATCCAGAGCGTCTGGGTCTCTATCCAGAGCTTGTGTGTCTCTATCCAGAGTTTCTGGGTCTCTATCCAGAGCACACACACACACATACGTCATTTTTTTTTCTTTTAAACTATTTCCTACTTAAACAACTTGTTCCAGTGTGGTCATTTTATGCAACCTTGTTCAACTGAGCCATACACCTTTAAATAAATATCCTACGCTATGCGCCTCACCAGTAATGGGAGTCACATATACACCCTTCTACAGTAGGGTCACTCACTTATACAGTTGTATACACCACCCATGACGGATACCACCATACAAAGTTCCCTCTGTTAATGCCCATTCACTTTTCCTTCAGTCTGGGATAATGGAGACTCGTTTTCTATGATATAAAATGGCCATTGCATCAGTTGCAACGCAGATTGAAAGAATAAAATGATGACAATTATGGCAACAATATTGCATGTATTGTGGAGCTGTGAGAGTCATTGAGAGCAACTGTAGTGGGACTTGAATGGTGGTAGTGGTGTCCTGCTGGACTTGAATGGTGGTAGTGGTGTCCTGCTGGACTTGAATGGTGGTGTCCTGCTGGACTTGAATGGTGGTGGTGGTGGTGTCCTGCTGGACTTGAATGGTGGTAGTGGTGTCCTGCTGGACTTGAATGGTGGTAGTGGTGTCCTGCTGGACTGAATGGTGGTGGTGGTGGTGTCTTCCTGGACTTGAATAGTGGTGGTGGTGGTGTCCTGCTGGACTTGAATGGTGGTGGTGGTGGTGTCCTGCTGGACTTGAATGGTGGTGGTGGTGTCTTGCCGGACTTGAATGGTGGTGGTGGTGTCCTGCTGGACTTGAATGGTGGTGGTGGTGTCCTGCTGGACTTGAATGGTGGTGGTGGTGTCCTGCTGGACTTGAATGGTGGTGGTGGTGTCCTGCTGGACTTGAATGGTGGTGGCGGTGTCCTGCTGGACTTGAATGGTGGTGGTGGTGTCCTGCTGGACTTGAATGGTGGTGGTGGTGTCCTGCTGGACTTGAATGGCGGTGGTGGTGTCCTGCTGGACTTGAATGGCAGTCGGTGCATGAAAGTAATTAGTGAAAGGCAGAAGGAGAAGATTGGCCAGTGAACACCTTTGGAATATTGATGACAAATATGACTTGACGGAGAGTGCCATGATTGACAGGTTGGTGCAGGTAAATATTGACTGAGAGACCTGCCAGGTGTCAAGGTTTATTTTGGTGTCTGGGTGTTTATTGTCACGTTTCTTGGTTTATATTGGTGTCAGGGTTCATGCTTGTGGGGTCTGGGTTTATATGGGTGGTGTCAGATTCATAATAGTGGTGTCAGGTCAGTTGGTGGTGGTGTCAGCTGGTGGTGTCAGGTTTATTTTGTTGGTGTCATGTATCATACGTGTGTTGTCAGGGTTTATACTGTGTCAGATCAGACACAGTGGTGTCAGACCTCCCTCACTGATCACCCATGGTAGCCACACATCACCTACAGTAGCCACACATCACCAATGGTGGCCACACATCACCAATGGTGGCCACACATCACCTATGGTGGCCACACATCATCCATGGTGGCCACACATCACACATGGTGGCCATACTTCACCCATGGTGGCCACACATCACCCATGATAGCCACACATCACCCATGATAGCCACACCTCACCCATTATAGCCACACATCACCTACAGTAGCCACACATCACCCACGATAGCCACACATCACCCATGATAGCCACACATCACCTACGGTAGCCACACATCACCCATGATAGTCACACATCACCTACTGTAGCCACACAACACCCACGATAGCCACACATCACCTACAGTAGCCACATATCACCCACGATAGCCACACATCACCCATGATAGCCACACATCACCTACGGTAGCCACACATCACCCATGATAGCCACACATCACCCATGATAGCCACACATCACCTACAGTAGCCACACATCACCCATGATAGCCACACATCACCCATGACAGCCACACATCACCCATGATAGCCACACATCACCTACAGTAGCCACACATCACCCATGATAGCCACACATCACCTACAGTAGCCACACATCACCCATGATAGCCACACATCACCTACAGTAGCCACACATCACCCATGATAGCCACACATCACCCATGATAGCCACACATCACCTACAGTAGCCACACATCACCCATGATACCCACACATCACCTACAGTAGCCACACATCACCCATGATAGCCACACATCACCTACAGTAGCCACACATCACCAATGATAGCCACATATCACCCATGATAGCCACACATCACCTACAGTAGCCACATATCACCCATGATAGCCACACATCACCCATGATAGCCACACATCACCTACAGTAGCCACACATCACCCACGGTAGCCACACATCACCCATGATAGCCACACATCACCTACAGTAGCCACACATCACCTACAGTAGCCACACATCACCTACAGTAGCCACACATCACCTACAGTAGCCACACATCACCCATGGTGGCCACACATCACCCATGATAGCCACACATCATCTACAGTAGCCACACATCACCCATGATAGCCACACATCATCTACAGTAGCCACACATCACCCATGATAGCCACACATCACCTACAGTAGCCACACATCACCTACAGTAGCCACACATCACCTACAGTAGCCACACATCACCCACGGTAGCCACACATCACCCATGATAGCCACACATCACCTACAGTAGCCACACATCACCTACAGTAGCCACATATCACCCATGATAGCCACACATCACCTACAGTAGCTACATATCACCCATGATAGCCACACATCACCTACAGTAGCCACACATCACCTACAGTAGCCACATATCACCCATGATAGCCACACATCACCTACAGTAGCCACACATCACCTACAGTAGCCACACATCACCTACAGTAGCCACACATCACCTACAGTAGCCACACATCACCCATGATAGCCACACATCACCTACAGTAGCCACACATCACCTACAGTAGCCACACATCACCCATGATAGCCCCACATCACGCACAGTAGCCACACATCACCCATGGTGGCCACACATCACCTACAGTAGCCACACATCACCTACAGTAGCCACACATCACGCACAGTGGCCACACATCACCCATGATAGCCACACATCATCTACAGTAGCCAAACATCCCCCATAGTAGCCACACATCACCCATGATAGCCACACATCACCTACAGTAGCCACACATCACCTACAGTAGCCACACATCACGCACAGTAGCCACACATCACCTACAGTAGCCACATATCACCCATGGTGGCCACACATCACCTACAGTAGCCACACATCACCTACAGTAGCCACATATCACCTACAGTAGCCACACATCACCTACAGTAGCCACACATCACCTACAGTAGCCACACATCACCTACAGTAGCCACACATCACGCACAGTAGCCACACATCACCTACAGTTGCCACACATCACCTACAGTAGCCACACATCACCCACAGTAGCCACACATCACCTACAATAGCCACACATCACCCACAGTAGCCACACATCACCCACAGTAGCCACACATCACCTACAGTAGCCACACATCACCCACAGTAGCCACACATCACCTACAATAGCCACACATCACCCACAGTAGCCACACATCACCTACAGTAGCCACACATCACCTACAGTAGCCACACATCACCCACAGTAGCCACACATCACCCACAGTAGCCACACATCACCCACACTAGCCACACATCACCCACAGTAGCCACACATCACCCACAGTAGCCACACATCACCCACAGTAGCCACACATCACCCACAGTAGCCACACATCACCCACAGTAGCCACACATCACCCACAGTAGCCACACATCACCCACAGTAGCCACACATCACCCACAGTAGCCACACATCACCCACAGTAGCCACACATCACCCACACTAGCCACACATCACCCACAGTAGCCACACATCACCCACAGTAGCCACACATCACCCACAGTAGCCACACATCACCCACAGTAGCCACACATCACCCACAGTAGCCACACATCACCCACAGTAGCCACACATCACCCACAGTAGCCACACATCACCCACAGTAGCCACACATCACCTAGGGGTAACAACACACACCCACCGCGGGTAACAATACACACCCACCGCGGGTAACAACACACACCCACCGCGGGTAACAACACACACCCACCGCGGGTAACAACACACACCCACCGCGGGTAACTAACTAGACATTACCTATGGTGGTGATGACGGTGAGAGAGTAGAGGAAGCCTCCCTCGATGGACCACTTGTTGGGTAGCGTGGTGTTGCCGCCGCTCCAGCCGTCGCCCACCAGGGTGACGATGGCCTGCTGGTACTTGACCATGATCTGCGACACGTTGGCCCTCCAGCTGCTCTTGTCCAGCACGTTGTACCTCACGGTGATGTTCCACAGCTGCTCGATGGTCTGGTTGCGGATGTGGTCGGCGTTGATGGACACGTCGTCTTGGCTCTCGATGGCGGAGAAGATGAAGGCGCCGACGATGGTGTAGCCGACCATGAGGCCGCAGACGCCCACGTTGCTGAAGATGAAGGCTATGGTGGACCGGCAGCAGTCCTTGAGGCGTTCTCCGAAGGTCTTGACGTAGTGGTAGTTGTGCGGGGCGTGCTGCTGGGAGTGTCTGGAGCCGCGGCCGCGTTCTGGCGCCATCTTGAGGGCGGCCGTCGAGGTGCCGGCGGGTCAAAGTCCACAGCGGTGAGAGTTGCCACAGGGAGACGCGAGAGAGTTGCCACAGTGCACACAGTCCCTTCTGTTGCAGACAGCAAGCATTCATCACTCACTGAGGCAACCGGCATGGCCACCGGCAACCACTCGGAGCACAACACATAACTTTCTGCGGTGGCTGCGTACACTGTCTGCTGGAGACTCACCTACGAGGCTCAAAAGTTTCGTTGGTGGTGGCTGCAGGCGACGGAGGCGAGTGCGAGGCGACGGGAGCGCTTGGGCGTGTTAGCCGTGGGGAAGACCCGGCCCCAAGTCCATGCCAGCGCCCCAGTCTGCGTCCGACACCGAGAAAAACCGACGGAGAGACAGGCAGACACGAGTGAGGAGAACGAGCGGCCGCGAGCATTCCATCTTCAGCTGCTGAATGAGCGCCTGCGGGGCCTTGAGGCATCGGGAGTCGTGTTGGTTGGCAGCTGGTGGGCAGCGGGGAGAAGATGGCAGCGGGTGGCAGCCACGGCAGACGGTCTACCCTGCAACACACAACACACATTAATGTGGCGGCGACCACGGCGGTCTGGAGACAGGCACTGGTAGCCCCGGCGCCCAGCCCGGGTCTGCCAGGGGGCGCCTTGGCACCACCACCTTCTATTATTGTACTGTTACAACTTTCTGCCACAACTCACCTGTTCTGGGGGATAAATCTCCGGGGGATGCTGCCAACACAACAGGTACACGAGTGCCAGACACGACGTAAACAATGTCTCTCTCGCTCTCCCTCTCTCTCATCCCTCTCACTCTCCCTCTCTCACCCTTTCCTTCCTCTCTCAACTCCAAATTTCTGGAGCTCGCGGGAGTCATAAGTAATAAGGAGGTAAGTGAAGGGAGGACTGAGGTAAGTGCCTCTCCCTGCCCATGCCTCTCACCAGGAATACCTGGGCCGGAAAACATGGCCGGAGTCTAGACATCTGTGAAATATGGCCCGGGTCCTTTCTCGGGACTCCTCCGGCTCCATTGTCAGATTTCCAGTCATTACTCTCCAAGTCAACCATAACTCAATGTTTTCTTCTGCGTTTCTCTTCAGGGATGGCTCAAATGTTCTGATATACGCACGCACGCACCCACGCACCCACCCACACACACACACACACACACACACACACACACACACACACATGTAGGGGGGGGGGGTAGCGGAAATAGTGGGACTTGCAGAAGGAAACTTGTTATGTGTAAGACGATCAGTTGGTTGCAGTGGTCACTGTACCGTGTACGTTTAGGGGGGGGATCTTGGACGTCATGGGTTCGAATCCTGGTCGGGTCATTAAGAGTTCTTAGTGATTTATGGCTTGCGTGTTCCTGCAGCCTTTCTCGAGATACAGAAATATATATATATATATATATATATATATATATATATATATATATATATATATATATATATGTGTGTGTGTGTGTGTGTGTGTGTGTGTGTGTGTGTGTGTGTGTGTGTGTGTGTGTGTGTGTGTGTGTGTGTGTGTGTGTGTATATATATACTGTGTACACACAAAAATACAAATACACACCACTCAAAAACTTATTCACGAACGCAGGCTTATAAACAAAAAGAGAGACCGAGAGAGAGGGGAGGGGGTTGGAGGGGGGGTATGGGGAGGCGGATGGCGGGGGGGGGGATATGGGGAGGGGGGGGGGCAAGATGGGTCATGATGGTGTGACGGTAACGCGTTGGTGTTCTCACTCTCACTCTTATCTGGCTGTTTAAGGCTAGGGTGACGGTATGGCCTCGTCACATAGTTATAAAAAAAAATAGAAAAAACTGGAACTTCGTCTGTGGTAAGGTAAGGAGAAGACACACAAAACACAAGTAAACTTTAACAATGAAATTTTAATTACGTTAAATAAATCAAACATGAAAATAATGCACAAACAAATTCTTATAATAAAATCAATGAATCAAAATAATAAGAATACTTAAATGACAAAATGAAAAGTTACGTTAAGGCAAAATAACAAGAAGTGCAACACAAAGGTAAGTGGGAGGTGCTGGAATATTGGCTTAAAGCCACCACCTCTCTCAGTACACGCTAACGTCTAGCTGGGAGGAGTGCTGGCTACGAAAGCACGGAACATTCTGAGGACTGATGTTGGGGCGACCCCAGACATCAGGTAGTATTGGGGGCGAGTGCAGGTGCAGCCAGACCGGCGACCAATCAGCGGAGCCGTAGCGATCAACGGGTAGTTTGGTGGTTGGAGTTCGAACAGGTGGCTGGTTGCATACGTTTCTGCTCACCCTGGCAAGCCTTGCTGGTGCTGGTGTTGTTGTCGTTGTTGGACATTTCTTCCATAGTCTTTTTATATAATTGTGAAGACGTAATTTTGGAGGGAAGAGCAGGCTCAATCTCTTGAAGGAGATTATCGTCACAACTCTCCCCCGAAGCCTGCGGTTCTGGAAGAAGTACGTCGTTATGGGGTGGAGTAATGGATGGAGTCGCTTCTACTTCATAAACTCTGGAGAGATCATGGGCTAAGATGTTGTCAGACTCTTGGTATAGCGTGTCTCCAGGTTGAATTTCTGCAGGTAGCAAGCCCATAGTAGAAGACGTTGAGATGAGAAGTGGGCGTGCTGCAGGAGGTGTAGGGTGGTGTGGTCCGTATTGATGGTGGACCGAGCACTTTTCAGGTGTGGAGTGAAGTGCTGAAGCTTCAGGATGAGGAAGAGTAGCTCCTTGCCAATTGTTCCGTAGATCCTTGTAGCAGTAGTCGCTGACAGGTGTATTCTTCTCGCCTCGTTGCTGCATCACGACACCACCCACGTCGGTACCATTGGCGTCGACATGGAGGATGAAGGGCTTATCTGACGAGGTGAGAGTGGAATTAGAAGAGGGCATAGGAGCACGATTATTATCCTGAAAGCATTTGGGAAGATCATTAAGGATTTTGGAATTAGAAAGCGCCGACTCCTTGTCAGTGCTTTCGGGAGAAGAAGCCGGGATGGTCTCACTGTGGATGTAGGGTTCTGTGAAGGTAGAACAATTAATCAAGACAGTGGGAGGAGTACCATTATATTGCTTCAGGAGGTTGACGTGGCACAGCTGGGTCTTCCGCCGCCTATCTGGAGTCTCTATCACATAATTATTATTATTCCTGCACTCTTTGACGCAGTAGGGTCCTGAAAATCTGTTTTGTAAAGGTGAACCTGGGATAGGGAAATAAGCAAGGACGAAGTCTCCCGGCTTGAATTTTCTTACTTTGCTGGTCTGGTCGTAATGAGTCTTCATTCTCACCTGGGCTTTCAATAGATTATCATGAGCAAAGCGGTGGACTCTCTCTAGAATGTGCTGAAGGTTTTGAAGAAACTGGGGCACATTCTGATGCTCACTGAAGGTGGCATCTCTGAGAGAGTCTTTGAAAGCCTTAAGGGGAGTACGGCACTTACGGCCGTAGAGCATCTCATAAGGAGATACTCCTAGGGACTCATTGGGGAGACTTCTGAAAATACACATTATTAGGTCAATCTGCTTATCCCAATCCTTTGAGGTTTCACTACAAAACTTTTTCAAGAGTGCTTTGATGGTCTGATGACTACGTTCAAGAGAACCCTGTGAAGCAGGATGATAGGGGCTGGACAATACCTGTTTGATGTTGAACTCCTCCAGTGTCCTTTTGAAGAGATCACTGGTGAAGTTGGTGCCACAGTCACTTTGAATCTCCCTGGGAAATCCGTATTGAGTGAAGATCTTCAATAGATGTTTGATAACCGTAGCAGCCGTGATGTTCTTCACTGGAACTGCTATGGGAAATCTGGTGGTAGGACACAGGATGGTTAGGATGTAGGCGTTACCTGAACTGGTCCGAGGTAAAGGACCAACACAGTCTATTATGAGTCTGTGGAAAGGTTCCGCAGGCACCTGTATGGGAATCAGTGGTGCTCTGGGAATGGAGACGTTCGGTTTGCCTGCCATCTGACATGTATGACACTGTTTTACGTACTGTTTGACGTTGTTTACCATACCTGGCCAGTAGTAGTCTTGACGAATCCCATGGTAAGTCTTGTTGAAGCCGTAGTGGGAGAATGCTCCATGGGCCAGGTGTAGAATAGTGGGCCGCAGGCTGGTGGGAATCACAAGTTGTTCGGTGTTGGCCCAATCGTCCTCCTCCTTCAGTTTACTGGGTCTATATCTGCGGTAGAGCAAGTCGTTCTCTAGGAAGAACCCAGGAATACTGTCGGGTTGAGTCTCAGCCTGGAAAAACAATGGTGTTAAAGTAAGATCTTCCCTCTGCAACTTACGGAACTCCAACTTGGTCAGATGCGGGGGTAGTTTCTGAGGGTCTTGAGGGACAGCGGTAGCAGTAGAGTCAGCTGGCTGTGGACGTGCGGCTTGTGCACGGGTGGTCACGAGAACCGGAGGAGAAACTTCATCACTCTCTTGAACCTCTGCTGGAACATACTCGAGAATAGGATTTATTGGCACAGAGTTACACACCTGGGGTTTGTCCATGACGATCAGGTTGGTCGGTTGCAGGTCTTCTGCCAAGTCGTTGCCTAGGAGAAGTTGCACTCCAGGCATGGGAAAAGGCTTTTCCCTGACGGCGACTTGGACTTCCCCGTTCACGTAGGGACAATCCAGGTGGACTCTGGCGAGAGGGTATGGAGTGGTAGCAGTGAGGTCAGTGATGAAGACTGTTTCCCCGGTGTAGACTATGTTGGGCACAGCCGACTTCAAGATGATCGATTGTAGAGCCGCTGTGTCCCTCAAGATCTTCAATTTGAAACGTCCCTCCGGATTTGAACCGTTGGCAGAGACAGTTCCAGTATACAGGTGGTTACTGAAAAGAGAAAGATCATTAACATCAACACCAACATTCATCACAGGCTTACCGGACTTAGGAGGAGTTGGTTTGGGTCGTTGTTGGTCAGTGGTTCCCTTGTATTGAGACTTACCACACTTGTCTATGGTATGTCCATAGAGTCTACAATACTTGCAGTACAGTTGTGAACCAGCTTGATCGGGGCTCACCTTCTCGTAACTGTACCACGACTTCTTACTGGAGGATGGTTCAGGTGTCAGCCGGTGGATGAGGCTGTAAGTGTCAGCCGACTTAGCACACTTCAGGTAGTCGGTTTCTTCTTTATCTGCTAAGTAGAGGCGGACAGGAGGCGGCACACGTCTCAAGAATTCTTCAACAAGCATCAGGTTGACGAGTTCTGCAAAAGTAGAGACATGTGCTGCTTCCAGCCATTTCATGAAATACCTCCGTTTCGTGTTAGCAAACTCAAGGAAGGTAGTGGTACTTGCCTTCAGGTGGTCACGGAATTTCCTTCTATAACTTTCGGTGGAAAGTAGGTAGGCGTCTAACACTGCTTGTTTCAGAGTGTAGTAGTCATTCTCAGACGCCAAAGTACTGAGTGTGACTGCAGCTCTACCTGTAAGATGGACTCTGAGAAGTGTTGCCCATTGGTCGACAGGCCAACTGAGTTGATTAGCAAGGGTTTCAAAGGTGGTAAAGAACACATCAACTTCTGCTTCTACAA